TGAAAGAAAAAGTTACCATGGTAATGTAATATTGATAAATTATTAAACAAAAATACTTGCAGAATTGTATGCGATTTAATTTGAAATGTGGCACAGTACTAATTTTGCCTTAAGACAAATTGCATTAACATCTCGAATAAAAAAAATAAACATAGCGAGTCCTTATCATGTTTCTTCGCATGGCTTCTAAATTTTATAAATCGCGGAAACCGTTTTTGAGAAAACGTCGAGTCGATATGACATCTTTCGGCTCGAACACACCAGTTTCTTTCAATTTTGGTCTCAAACGATTTAATAGACCTAAAACACCAAGAAAGCATAAAATGAGAAAATCAAATTTTCTGAAAAAAAAACAAAAGAAAAATACACGAGTTCGGGATGTTATATGAAAAATATACCTCTTAATTTTTCAGCCTTCTTTATTTAAATTGATTCGATAAATGACAATATTAATTACATACAATTAAATAAATAAAGAAGTTCAAGAAAAGTTTATTCAATTTAATATAAAATTTCTCAAAAATAACCCATTGCATAGTTGTAAAGAATGAATAATATTATCTTAGCATTTATATGATTTGCAACTTTTATACCATCATGCTATCAAAATCAGAATTCAATGAATAAAATATGATTTAAATTTATTAACTACGACTGTAATAAAACATAACGACATACCTCGCACAACGTACACCCCACAATGGACGCTGCGCATAACGAATTTTTTTTAGGTCACAAACGTTCCGCACAACGTACTTAACTGTTGTCGTTTGTAGTCAAATATATGTTGCTCAAATTCATTAAAAACTAGTTTCGGAAATTTTTGCACCGCTGTGGAAATATAATTGTTGGTAAAAAAAAACTTACACTTAATCATCTCGTTAATGGATTCACTTTCATACCCCGACGGTCTTTGTAAATATTAAAAGTGGATGATCAAAACTGAAGAAGACCAATAAGCAAAAAAAAACATAAAGTCCATAAATATGACCATTTGTAATGCTAAGGAGATCAAGAATTTGCACAATGATAATCTTGCCTATTACTTACGGAAGGTCTTAAAGAAGAGATTAGAAGAAATACTACGAGAGTTTCTTTAAAAACTCAGGGCAAAAAAGAAAGCAAACCACTCTGAAAATGTTAATTTCGTAAATTAGTAATATTTTTTTAAATGTATTATATGTGAAATTTATTCTTTTTTCTATTGTCATATTTCAAAATGCAGAACAAATTAATTTTGTTTTTATGTAATAAAAATGCGATTCGCATAATGACCTTTCTCCCGGAACAAATTAAGGAGCAGGGTATCACTGTATATTAAAAAGTAATTAAATATTTTCTGTTTGATCAATTTATTCAGTCAATGAAGCACACATAGCAATATTTAAATATACTGCAATTGTAATTGCAAGTCAATATTTCCATTCAGTGATTAAAAATAAAATTTTCCTCTCTCACTGTGAGAATCCGACTAATGAACATCGGAGCCGATGCTGCGAGATTTGTAGACCGTGCGGATGGATATAGATGATGATTATTGGAAAGCTATAGAGAGACGGTTGGGAAAATAGAAAATTAGAAATCTCATCACCATGGGTGTTCGGATCGATTTATGTGACTGTTTTAATAGATGCAAGTGCGAATGTACGAAAGTGCGAATTGCAAAATATGAAACGATATGAATGACCTCAGGTCAACTCATACTCGATGGTCAAGTCAGTTCGAATCGATTCTATCGCTTTCAAATTTCGTCTAAAATAAATACTGCGAAGTTTTATTGGAAAATTTACTTGTTAACTCTACGAAAGTTCCGATAAAAGACTTTAAAAAAATAGAGATTAAATTTGATAAATGATATTATATAAAATATTAATTTATGTTAGGTATTGGACAAACCGTAAGAGCTAAACAAATCAACTTCATACTTATTCCAGAAATAGAAAAAATATATAATTATAAACAAAGAAAGAGTAATATTAATATAAAAAAATCCGTGGCGAAAGTGAGTGAACCTGAGCTTTGAAACGAGGTTCCGAGTTCAAATCCCACGTAGCCTATAACCCTCATATCTGGTACTAGTGATTTCTGGCTGTGATGATCGGAATTTCTGGCTGTGATTTTTATTTTTATTTAAAAATATGGTTTCAAGTAAAGATAACCCTGCAGAAATGCGTGAGACAGATGCAAAAATAATATTTAAAGCCTGTAAAAATAAAAATCAGAGCCAGAAAGGACAAACATCGTGTTGCTCATGAAAATGTCATTATAAAATCAATAAATTGTATTTTATAAAAAAATCTATACACATTACATATATTGTAATATATTCTGGCCCTCGAGATTCTGGTTCTATAGGTCATCATTTCTAGAAATTTTCACGAAAAAACAATAGCTAGGAAGCAAATTTCGAAAAAGCAAAATTTTCAATGCAGTTGTCTAATAGCAATACGTTTTTATATTTTAAGTTTAAAAGTTTTAAAAACTTACGAAAAAAATCACTTTAAATCATAAAGATCTTAATAACGTATTTTAATTTGAATAATAATTTAAACTATTTAAAATTTAAGTTTGCATTATGGGAGAAACAAATCAAAATTTGATTGCAAGTTTTTTCTAAAAAATACATCTAAATAAATAAAAGAAAAAGTATTAATTAGATTTTTCTCGATCTCAAAAACGACCTCATACAAATTTGCTTAAGTGTAAAAAAAATTAGTATTGAAATCGTATTCAAATTTAATCGAAATGCTATGGTTTCTTACTTGTTAAGCAAATTTTTTTCAAACAACCGATTAAAAATTATGATGTAATATGTAATTATAAAATTATTAAGCTTATTATTTAAAACTGAATGAGAATTTTTTTATATAAAACTATAGAGAAGCAATAGAAGATATAAACTGTTATTAGTATAATAAAAAATAAAAAATAAAAATTATTTATATATTATAGGCAGCAATAAGATCTCTTCTGATGGAGCTGATGTTGGGGCTTTCCTTATAATCTAGTGCTATTATATTATAGGACAACCCAATGGTCGTTCATTCTCTTTATGAAGAAATTATTATCAGATATATTTCCAATAGAGGGGTAACTTGCAATAATGCACCGGATATTATTTGTACTATACATGATATCAAGCTGGTTAAGACGGGAATAGAGTCAAAACCTCTAACCAATAAGTCACAAGGATCAGAAATTAGGTTAGTTGAAAGAATAACAATTTTCAAAGAATTTAAAGAAAAATTGCTAGAATAATTGAATCCGTTGTTAATATAGTAAATATTTCTAATAAATAAAATTTCTTAACAATTTCTCATCACCATTTGCTAGAAGCTACTAGGATCAGAATTGTTAAATAATATACGAGGTCTGTTCAAAAAGTACCCGGAATTTTCGTTTTTTCAAAAAAATATTTATTTATTCGTCTACATTAATGTGGTCCCCTTCAAAGTAGTCCCCCCCAGATATAATGCACTTATGCCAGCGTTTTTTCCAATTTTCGAAGCACCCTTGATATTCACTTTTTGATATGTCCTTGAGCACTCTCAGCGATTTTCTTCAATCGAGGAAAACCGCCGTCCTTTCATGGGTCTCTTCAACTTTGGGAATAGGAAAAAGTCACACGGAGCCATATCTGGTGAATTTTTGCACTTTGCAACACTTTATTTCATTTTTTACGCAAAATTTAATACAAATTCTTTGACTTTTCAATTCTTCCATTGTAAAAATCGCCGAGCTCAGAAAAACACGTCGAACTTTAGCGACTACCAAAGACAAAGTAAACAGTGAATATAGCTGAAAATTTCATCATACTTTAGGGGCATGTATACCAACAAAATTTTGACAATCAGACACTCCAGACCCGCGAAATTTAATTATTAGTAATTCCGGGTACTTTTTGAACACACCTCGTATAATTACAAGATTTAACGACGTGACGCTTCGTTCTACAGAAAACAGAACGCATTGATAACTGAAAGCTATTTGCTGCGGAATCATATATTATACAACAGCAAGTAAGAATAATTACATTTTATGGACTTGAACTCAATGAAATTAAATTGTTCGAGGAATAAGTAAATTCACATCGGGTAATTTATAAGCACATTACATGAAGAGTTAATGTAAATAAATAAACTATATAATTGCGTGCTATTTGTAAAAAAAATGAGAAGGGCGTGGGCGGGGCACAAAGGTCCGATTTGACTTTGAACAATTATAATGTGAAAACTAAATCTATTGTATCACCACAAATAGTATATATCAAACAAACAACTATATGACTATGTTTAGTAAAACTCCTAGCTAATTTATAATTGTAAAAATGTGTTTTTTGCTGTTTTTTTTTCAAAAATTTCCTTTTTACCCCAAAGACGGGTTAAAATAAAATGGCCGGGGTGCAAACGAGCCCTATGTCATATTTTTAATTCTAAAGAAAGTTTTTGTTCTTGAATATTAATAAATTTAAATTTTGTTAACTTCTCATAATTAATAAATATAATTAAGTATAATAATAATAATATTAATATCAAACTATACAAACCAAAAATAATATAATTAAGAATTATTTAAGGGTCTATAGTCAAATTGCTAAAATTGTACCTATGTTCATGTTAAATGTACCTAAGATTTTTTTTCAGTTCAATTATTTCTTGTTTTGTAAAAATTACCTCGCAGAAGTTATTTGTGTTAAATATAGTACAATCTAATAAACAGCTAATATTCTTTCCACTCGCGAATTGCAAGATTTATATGTATTTTTCACACGGCATCCGAATGGAAAGGATTAAAAAAAAAAACTCCATAAAACGTATGACTCAATATAATTTTTTTTAATTTATGCGTAATGATGTCATAAAAGTATCATTTATCCTACTCCATAAACCATACCAATTAAAGTAAAGCATCATTTTATCATTGTTTAGCAGGCTGACTGACTAATATTGAAAAACAACATCATAAAATAAAAAAGTATAATGCTAAATATTAGTACTCACTTTGTTCTTCTGGGCGCCGATCATTCCATCCTCGTCGGTCCTCGTCTTCAGTACCGGATCCGAAGACGATTTCGTCCCAAGTTCCATCATCACTTCCATTGTTCTTTTATTTCTATCTTCCTCATCATCAACATCATCATAAAATTCACCTTCTTCGCAATCAACAGTCATTCTAGACTGAGCTCTAAGTCCGTTGTGGATTTTGTCCACGTCGGATAGTATTCCAATTCCACTATCAACCTCCTCACTGCGAGAATCAGTGAGAAGATTTTCAGCTGATGATGGTTGGGTCATTGCATCGTCAGCACTTGATGGATCTAAAAGAAATAGAAGAAATTTGGTTAAAAGTTGTTATCAAAACATACCAGATATATCCATCCATATATACATACTAGGAAATGCAATACCGGTATACCGGTATACCGGTATACGGAATTACCGCTAAACCGCCCGATTTTTTGGCGGTATTTTTACCGGTATTTTCGGTATTTTACATAAGCGCTATTTGATACATAATACACTAAATCTTTAAATTCCATAATCGCATAAACAGCTATATCTTCAAGTGATTCTGTAAGATAAACAAATGTCAAATATTATCACAACTCGTCATTAAACTGAATATTTATTGCTTTGCTAAGGACTTCATATCGTCTTACAATAAATAGAATTGTACTGATAGATTATGATGTTTGTTTCATCTTTTGTAAAAATATAACGATTTTTAAGTGATATTTGCGCCAAAATATTTTATATCATACAGATTACCCCTGCGCAATCTTTATTTTTTTCTAACTTTATACATAATAATTATGATAATTACTAAATATTTTTGCTTCTTATTACAATTATAAAATATTATTTTTCGACAACGTTTCGAAGTTTGAAAATATTATAGAAGCATCACATTGTTTTAAACAACAATACTCAACAATTATAGTAACTTATTATTTATCTCAAAGTATCCGATCTTAAATTATATATTTGTAGAAAAATTATTTTTTTAAAATATTGGAGATTATGCTAATTTAACACATCGGATACAGACAATACAGTTTATTATAATAATGTAATATGATCTTTTATGAGTTTTTGGTCTTTCTTACTCATAAGTTTGTTTTCGTGAAAAGTACTCAATATACTCGATAGTGATAATGAATCAATTAAATTGGATATACTTTTGTTAAATTATTATTTAAAAAAATTAACTTATTGTTTTATTTTATTGTTTTTATTGTTTAGTTGAATATAGTTGTTGTATAGACATTTTTTTTAATATTTGTACTAGTAACTTCAAATTTTGTTTACGTTTGTTTAAGATAATAAAAATACCGGTAATTTACCGGTATTCCGGTTTTAAAATGAAAAATTACCGAAATACCGGTATTGAAATTTTCCATCGGTATTGCATTCCCTAATACATACTACACATACACCTACCCTGGTAGAGGGGATAGCGGAGTGTATTAATTGAACTAGTTGTGCACTTCTAAAAGTAAAGTCCGCGAAACAACATTTTTAGTAAATAACTAATAATATTTCTTCTTTCATTATAACTTAGTAACAAATCAGTGTTTGATACAGTCCACAGCTACAAGGATTAAATTATAACCGAACAACCTGAATTATCAAAGGAGAGTTTTAATAAATTTCATAAGTACGTAACATAAAATACAATTATTATTTTGTGGCGGGAATAGCTCACTCAGTAGCGTTCTCGACTCAAACGCTGGAAGGAATTCGGTGCGAATCTCCAGCAATACCAGAATTAAAAATATAAAATATTAAAGTAGATTAAGAATTGTTGATTTGTAGAATACAAGAAAAAATTGTACTAGAAGTAAGAAGGAAAAAGAAGTTTAGTTTGAAATATGAGTAGAACATATTGAGAAACAGAAGAAGAATGAAAATTGAATGGAAGATTAGGATATAAAAAAAGATACTGTATATATAATGGATGTATAAGAAATATATATGTGAGAATTGTATAGAATATGATAAAAATAATATGAATAATGTAGGTGGCTAAAAATGCTGTAAAGCGGAGGCCAATAAAATTAAAAAATATTATATTATTATTTCACTTACTTCTTATCCCGTGACCCATTCCAAGCCAACATCTCTTCCGCTGGTAAGCGGACGAAGTAGAAATACCATCCAAAGAGTCACCAGAGCCCAAACATTCGTAACTAAGTTCTTCTTTGGAATTAGCAGCCTCGTCTTCGTTATAAGATGAACAACTTGCGGATGAAGATTTATTGTCATTTTCTTCTTCGATGCCATTTCTGCAAGTGTCATAAAGCGAATATTCAGAAGGCCAAGTCACACTAGAGGTCGCTGGCGACAGAGAATTTGGGGTTGTTTGAGTGTACTGGTCTCGTGGTTCTCTTATTTCCAATGTTTTTGTGAAAGTTGATGATGAAGTCGATGACTGGAAAAAATAGGAATAAATTAGATATGATTTTTTTCTGCAATGATTATCTATTATCCACATATGACATTATAGCAATTAATAATGAGGTAAAAAAATGAAGAACTGGATCAAGTGAATCATAAGACAATGTGTGGGTTTTCATTAGCGTTTATACAAAAACCGATATTTCAGAAAACCGGTTTTCGAATTTTAATTTTACTAAAAAAACCGGTTTTAACCGGTTTTCCAATATTATATAGAAAATAAATTTTTGCTCGAATATTCTGTAATTTATCCGCAAATTTAGTGTAATTGAGAGCAGTATTTGACTGAATTTATTTATTGTTCAATTTTATAGATAGTAAACAAATTATTTTAATTTTATTTAGTAGAACTAAAAAATAATAGTTTATCTTGATTAAATAACTTTGAAAATAATTATTCGTTATTCATGCATCATTTTCACATATAAGAATGAAAATATTTTTATGACAGTGTAAAGAAAGTTTTCGAATAAATAAAAATAACACATTTTAAAATTAAAAAAAATGCATTAATTAAAAAAAAAATTAGATACATGTTGATACATACATGTTAATATCAATTTTAGTTTTAAAAATAATTAAGCTAAACCCAGGTATTGTCTGTTCCGTTCCGATCAATTTTAATTAATTAATTTTAAACATTCTAATTGTTTTTTAATAAATATGATTTCAAAAAACTGAGAACGTCTATCTGATTCTGCGACGAAGAAGTCACACTGATTAATATATAGGTACACAACTTTTCTGGGAACCATTGCAGACTGATAAAATATCAAAGCTATTGAACGGATATGATTTCAATAATCAAAACGCTTTCATCTACCTTCTATATTTAGCTATATTGGTCATATTCCATTTATGCAGTGAAAACCGACTTTTTTCACAAAAAAAAAACGGTTTTCGAATACCATAATTTCGCCAAATACCGTTTTTGAAAACCGACAAACCCTAGTTTTCATATTTACAATCTTCTGTCGCGAGTTTGATCTGACAATATCCTCTACAGACTATACAGTTTCTTTTGATGCTTACTGACATCATTTGAGATGGATTAGATTTAAATTTGGAATTTAGAAATAAAATATTTAAAAATAAATTGGAACTAGGTGCATGCATCGTGCCTTAAGGCAAATTGCTGAAACCTCCCCTACAAAAATAAATTATTTAAAAAAGTTTTTTTTTTAATTTGAAAAAAAAATGTTTTTGAGAATTTTAAAAATTTTATTCGTTTTCACAATTTACGAATGCAGCCATTCCTATCATCGTGCCCTAAAACTTTGAACACATTTGCTCAATGAAATTAAATCACTCTATAGATACGTCATGAAACTTAGCCTAACTAATGCTTAACCATCTATTTTCTGAAACTGTGTTGATCATTTATATCATTTATTACTCCGCCCTAGCATTCATCATCACAATCACTTCCATTATTTCGTGTTCCCGTCTCCTCTACAGAAACTGATCATCTGATTAGAATCGAGGTTAGTCTTCTGACTTATGACAACCCTGTGTAATCAATTATGATTGCACATTGTGTGCATTACATATGCGTT